AATAAACTCCACAGGCATGAAAACGGAGAATTTTGTAGAATGGACATTGCTGCCACTCACGGTGAAAGAATTTGGTCACGACTTGTAGTTTTTTCCTGGGAAGCATTTGTTTCAGGGTCAGTGAAATGTCTCACTGTAATGTTACCCAGCTAAATAGAGAAAATAAAAAAAGAGACAGTTATTGATCTAAAAGCCTGTAGCATGAGAGATAATCTCGTATTTTCTGGTATTCCAGAATCTGCTGGAGAAGACGCGGAGACTACAGTGAAAAGCTTCATCAAAACCCACCTGAAGCTGCCGGAGCTGATGATCTAAATATTTGATCTAAATATTTGCAATATTTTCTTTATCTTCTAACCCTGGATCTTCCTGAAGATGAATTCTTCCTCCTCATTACACCAGAGGACAATATATGCATTGTTCTACCGGTCTTTCCTTTGCACAACATGGTAAAAAAATTAGCTCACAAGCCTCCAGTGCAATGGAGGGGAACTTTCTGTGTATGTGTTATTGTAGGGTCGACCTTACAATATGAAGCACCTTGATGCAACTGTTGTAGCGATTTTGTGGTATATAAATGAAATTGGATTGAATGTAGAGCACCTGCCTCCTCATTGTGCTGCCTGTTGTTGTTATGACCTTTGTTTGACCCCACACATCAGTGACCCAAGATCAAAGATGTTTGAAAGCAGTATGGTGTGAAAATATGGCCCTTTGCAACATTTTGTACTTTGTGGACGTTTTTGTCCCCGGGGACAAGAGATGTCATAAAATCCAATAAAAAACCCATAAATAAATCAAATTACTTAAAACTCCAATTGTGCACAGCATAGTAGTGAATAACTTCTGTTATTTTCAGATCATTTGATGAATAAAAAACACATTTTTGATAGGATTTCTTTTGGGGACAAAAATGTCCCAAGGACAACACAAGTTAATCGTGATGACGCATTAACTCGTTAACCTTGACAGCCCTACAAAAAAGTCACTTTCTTGAAAGTCATGAAACCAGGTTCTGCTGTTTTCCTGTCTTCCTCCTCCACTTCATAACCACCCACTGCACCCACTTCTAACTCATCAGCTTACACTCGTTTCATTTTTCAGCACTTCAGTTACATCAACTTTATTTTCTTCTTCCTATACTCACTGACACTGTCATCCACATGTCCTCAGCTCAGAGGCGTGACCAGAGAACAGAAGAGGATAACGTGATTGTTTGATTTATGTGTGGGTGTCAAAGAGAAACTGTTGAGGATGGATTCCTTAATATACATCAGAGTTAAAGAGAATATAGTTTGTGATTGCTTGCAACGTTATAATATTGCAGTTACAGTTTTTGCCCGTTGCTTGAACACATTTTGCAAAACTTCGCTCATTGTGCCAAAACTCCAAACACAAGTAAACACGACACAACACTGGGAAATATACCATTCACATCTGTGCCAAATTGAAACTCTACTCTCAAAACCTAAACTCTGCTGTCAAAACCTGACATTCCTTTGTCAAAATGTAACTCTGTTGACAAAGTGACACATACTTGCATCATATGCAAACACTTACAGAGCAGGAGGAACACACTAGTCTACTTTATATAAAGCACTGCAGTCTTTGATGTTCATTGTTTATTCAGAAGGCACATTTTCAAACAACCAAAAAAGCCAATAGGACTCAATATTGTACATTGCAGTACCATGAATTCAGATAAAGCAAAAAAAAAACAAAAAACACAATACAGTAATAGAAAAAACACCATACTGTAAACAAAAAATCATGACAATTGTGCATAAGTGGGCTCATGGATCCCGCCGTCTTTTGGGGTCTGGCCACAGGACCTCATCGACATCGCAAGCAATGTCTTCTCCTGCTAGGCACCGGGGAAAATATCCTCCTGCATGTCGAAACCATCCATGGGTTGCTGTCACCTGAATGTCGCCGCAGGCCTGTTCCATTGCCTGCAGAAGAGGCATGGGGGCATGTGGTTGGCGGTCATATACACGCCATCTCCAGGCCGAAAAAAATTCCTCTATAGGGTTTAAAAATGGTGAGTAAGGGGGCAAGTATACCACTTCAAGTTGGTTGGGGTTGGAGAACCAGGCTTGGACCAGAGCAGCCCGATGGAAACTGACATTATCCCATATCACCACAAACCTGGGCTGATCTGGTCTGTTCTGTACAACTATATCATGGAGAGCATCTAGAAATGTGAGTATGTGTTGGCTATTGTATGGACCTAGTATTGCATGATGGTGCAGAAGCCCTCGAACGCTTATGGCGGCACATAATGTGATATTTCCCCCGCGCTGCCCTGGGACGTGCACAATTGCCCTTTGGCCAATTACATTACGACCCCGTCATCTTGTTTTGCTCAGGTCAAATCCAGCTTCATCAATGAAAATGTATTCATGAGGCTGTGCAGCTCCATCCATGGCCAAGAGTCTCTGTAAAAAAAAGAGAACATATCACTGTACTACAGTGCTACACATACAGCACCCTCACCCCATCACACTGTGTAGCTCTCAGAATGGATCCATGTGGTACTGATATGGTACATATTCAGCTGCTACTGGATTTCACCAATACTCTATTGTAAATGTAAAGGACAGTTACACGTACCCGTACATATTCAGCTCGAAGTCCTTTGATCCTGTCACTGTTCCTCTCAAATGGGACTCTGTAGAGCTGCTTCATGGTGATGCTGTGTTTTCCCAAGATGCGTCTGATGGTGGTGATGCTCACATGGTTTATGTTATTGAACACTTGCCTGTCTGCAAGTATTTGCTTTCGTAGCTGGTGGAGACGGATAGCATTGTCTGCCCTCACTATGTCCTCAACAGCAAGTTCCTGCCGTTGTGTGAACAGGCGTTGCCGTCCTCCCCCAGAAGGTCTTCGAGTCATTCTAGAAAAATACAACCACATATTGTCATCGCTTTGCTTATTTTTCTTAAATAAACAGGTGAGGGTCTAGACTCAAACACTCCAGGACTCAGGAAATTGGGCTGTACCTTGAGAACTCTTCTGATGGTTATTGTACCTGAAACAATAGCGTGTGAAACGATTCAGACAACAGTGAGCCTGGCTACAAGGTCTCCATCAGAAACATAGTCGCAAATGTAGCATGGGCCATTTGAGATTCTCTGTTGACTAAGATTATGTCCATCGCTACCAAAGAAGACCGGAAGAGGGATGCTGCCAAATTCTTAAACACTGGAATTTACCAAACTGTGTGTGGTCTATTGACGAAAGATGGCCCTTAATTAGGTCCTGCAAATTGCAGTATAACAATATATATTTTTAGTATTACAGAGCTACGTGCTGATCTCGTATTGTAACTTTTGTTCTCATCCTACACAGCCTGAGAAGACCATAATGTCACGATTTGCAAAGGCGACTCGTGCGGAGAGAGTGAGGAGTGGACCCAAATGGAGGCAAACAGAAAGAAGTGGTGGCTCGCTTGAAGCTGACGCTCCGGTGCGTGTCACAAATAACAACACACTGCTTCAGAAGCACTGTCCAATCCAATTTTATTCATAAAGCACTTTAAAATAGCCAGGACAGGACCAAAGCGCTGTACAGAAAATAAGTTAAAAGCAACAGAATAACAGAAAACAGCAAAACTAAATAAAACACATAATACATAAAAAATTAAAACAGCCCTATATTAAAACGAGATAAAACTGCATAGAATCAACTAAAAACAACCAAAATCAAACTAAAAACCAACATCTCTCGTGGTGTCAAAGGCCAGGGTAAAGAGGTGGGTTTTCAGGAGGACTCACCCAGCTGATGGTCTGTGCACGCCAGCGTCTTCTGCTCCATGTGAGAGGATTTCCTCTAAGGCAGGAGAAATTATCTCCACGAAAAGAAACAGACTCGACCGTCGCACAGTGGAACAAATTCTCTTCTTAAATAAAAACCAAACAGGTTGACTTTAAATGCATCACTTTTACTTTACAAGTTCATGATCAGTTCTACCCCCGGGTCAAAAATGCGTATAAGAAAACTGGCCTAATTTAATGTGATTTATAAACATAACTGTCCAGCGATTGATTGCATAAGTACACGGAGTCAGGACGTCACAGCATACCGCATAATGTTTTGTACATTATTATATGTATTTTTAATCTATTGCATTTACAAACGCCGAGGAGTCACGAGCAAAGAAAGACCACACCATGGCACATGTTTAAACAAGGAATGTTTATTGATCAAAATTATTTATTAAACAAATAAACATGGCAAGTTTTTCACCCCCCAAAGAATACATGCTCAAAGCAGCACAACGGCGGCCCAATATCAGACAGAACTGTGAACTCCACTCTGTAGAGTGGCCAATCATAATGAAGCAGTTCACTATGTTGTAGATTCAAGCTGCGCTTCATATGTTTGGCCACCAGATGTCACCAGAGAGGACTGTGTTGAAAAGCTTTGAGTAATGAACCGTTTTTCAACACGAGCTTCAACGCTTCAGAAAGCGTTGTTTGGCCATCACTAACAGAAAGTCAGCCTTTATTGACGGCAGAACAAAACAACCAACAGGTGGAACACAGAAAATGAGCCAAAACCTGAAACACCTGGAAACGCGAGGGGACGGAGAGCAGCGGTTACACGAGGGACGACACACAGACAGACCGACAAAGAGCCAAGGACAACGCAAGCAATAGATACACACCAGGTAAGGAGTGGAAATGCACAACAGGAGGGAGACACAGCTGGGATAAATGTGACAGGACGCAGGAAGTAAAGCAGACTATACTGACAAAGGACCAGGACTATCAAGGTAAACCAGGAAACACAGAGCTGAACTCAAGACACGTAAGCTAAAGACAATGACCCTTCCCAAGAACACAGAGGCACAGAAACAGAACAGCAACCATAAACGTAACATAAACAGGAAACCATACCTCACTGAATAAAACTTGAACCAAAAAGACAAAACACTGAGTCGCAGACACACAACAGGGATTTCCTCTTGTTGACAGCACCCCAGCAGACAGCACAGCTCTTTTAGCAAAAACACTTGTTTATTGACAAATCTCCATAAAGTTTAAATAAGTCGGTCTCACAGGTGGTGTGTGTTTTTTTTCCAAAAACAATAAATCATCATCAACACTGTTATTGGACAATTCACAATGAAACCCACATATTTGGCAATCAAAAATACAAAGAAAAATCTGGAATTTACCTTCACAATCACACACAAACACCAGTGTCACTCCCTGTGACACACCAAAGACATTTTTAAAGCACTCATCATGTCGAGGAAGAGCTGAATGCATCGTACACAAGACAGCTTTGGTTTTACAGTCCTTACTGCTGATTTCTCTGGGGCTCTGTGGTGCAAGGCGCTTTTCCTTGACATCATTCAAACGTCGCTTCTCTGTAACGTGGATTCTAGCTCTCTACATCTGCAGTCCCAGATTTGTAAAAGCGTTTATGGATGGGCCTAGTGTAATCCCACAGCCTCACGGTCACTTCGCTTTCCAGTTGAATTCATTTTCACTTGACTTGGAAAGTTGACTGAATTGGACAGAAGATGAAATTCCACGGCAAATAAACTTTCTTGCTTTAATGCTTGTGCATTCACAGGAAAACTGCCCACACTCTGACCAAGGAGATCAACGAGGAAGAGAGGAAACAGTGAAAATACAAACCTCCTTTGTTTCTTCATAACCATGAAAAACATCATGATGTCAAGAGAAACGCAGTGCTCTGAGAACCTGACTTACAGCAGGTTTCTTAATGATGTGACAACAGGTCTTATTGATGAATGTCAGCCATGTTGAAGTTACAATGTCCAGAATATGGAATGAAAAAGAATCGTGGATTCTTGACACCGTGCTGTTTCAGGCACCTCCACGTGCAAAAACATAATTTCTTTATTTAGCCTCCTAACAGCCTCCAGGCTGGTGAAACACTGATTGTGCACTGGTGCAACATGTAGATCATTGTGTACATGACAATACACAAACGTGAGGACGTAACCAATGTAACCAAATCCACAATGGCCTTTTATAGACTTTTGAAAACTGATTTCATTGAGTGTATCCAAAAATAGTGGTTGCTTAAAGATGAAGGGAAGTGAGAAAGTTTGTGTTTCTCTTGGCATCTCATACAGCCACACACACATAGGAGAACATCTTACTTATATTCAAAGAAAAATAAAAGCTTTTATCTGATTGGTCAGAATCTGTCTCTACACCGATCTGTTTGTTATGGTGTAACTCTACTCGAGTATCTCGAGACATATTTAGTGATGCTGTGACTCATTTCCAGTCACAGCCTCTGACACATAGGTGGGTACAGTCATGGTTGGATGAAATGAGTGTCATTGTGCAGCAGCATTTCTGCGAATGGATATCGATCTCTGCCTTTTGAAAAGCTAAATATTAAACTCGAGTGGCCTCTTAGCTGAGTGGTGTTCAAAATGTATGCAAAATAACAGTTACTGAGATGAAAGCACATGAAGGAGTCAGTGAAAGGGCCACAGCATAGATGCTGCAGAGCAGCTGGTGGGGTGAGATGACTGCAGCTCCTCCTGGTACCACATGGATCCACCACGGCAGAAGATAACGTCAGGAACATTAGCAGAACTCAGATCTCGCTCTCGTAGGTGTGCATGTAGGTCTTGAGCGAGAGGATTTCAGCGTAGCTGCGGCTGGTCCTGCGGTACAGGTCCAGGCCTGTCAGGAGCTCCACGTCTCTGACCCGAGCTGTGTGCATCTTCATCAGGCTCTCCACCCAACGAGACTCCTCCTCTGAGCTCTGTGGAGGCAGTAAGGACGAGCAGCGTTAGCAGCAGTCACCTCTTATTAATGGACATCAGATCGAAAATGTTTCTTTGGTTCATGTTTTGAAAGGCTGTCTTCAGTTGCACATACAAAGTTTCTTATTCACAAGAACGTGAGCGTAGTTTGGGGTCCCGGGAGAACAGTTAAAGCTCAGTAACTGTTATTATCTCCTTTCAAAGACATGTGATTAGCGCAGCTTTTCATTCAGTTTTTGGACAATGTCTTTGATTTATTGTCCCTCCAGCTAATGCTCTAAACCTCACAGATGTGGAGTTAATCAGCTGTGACGTTGGTGGGCCGTCAAACGAACCACCAATCCTTCACAGTCACATGCTTGTGGTCACTGCATCGAGATCGCTGCACAGCTCAGCAGTATCGGTGTGCACTTTTGTGTCGTTTTGAACCTTTTACCTTCATTTTGGAATATTAAAAAATGACACAATGCCATCTTGCCTATCCCAGCTACCACAGGGCAGGAGGTGCTCCAGTTTTGAAAGGTAAAATTATAGTATTTTACTAGTTTGAACTCTCGGCGAAGGCAGCCGCACTTTTTCTCCTCTCCTCTCCCTTATCTTCCTTGCTTGGCTTCTTATGTCCTTGTCTTGTGTTTTTACTTTTCCCTGGAACACTCTCTCACAGTCTGTTTCTAAACCTAAAAGAGGAATTATGGATTTGATCAACTGGTCTCTGAATGCAATTGACACCCTTTTCTCAACGAGAAGTTTGGGCTTGGTGAGCCTGAGTGCTGAAGATATCGACCTATTCGGAACCATGGTAACAGGGTTTTTGCTGATCGGAGCTGGCTTGGCCCTGACTTATCGGAGAATGAAGAAAGCGGAACCGGCTGTTCAAACCCCCACAAGGCTGCCCGCTGGCATTGGAACGATGGGACAAGGCGTGAGTTTCTCAAAATGGGCTGATTGAGTGCAGCACGGATAAGATCTTGGAGAGGCTACGGCTGCTGTGAATACTCAGAATAAGATCTCTGAGCGCAAATTGATCACATCATGGAGAAGCTCGCGGCTCTCCAACGGGAGTTTGAGAGACCAGTGTCGGACTGTAGAACTGCTTTGAAATTGATATGAGTTGTTCGCACTAAAGGAAAAACCACCATCACTTCATGGGGATACCCCTGTGGCACCAGCTGCGGTCTCAAGGCTGGAGCTGAACAACAACACCCTGATAATGACTGTGTTTAGACTGTTAGGGAATTATGTTAGGATGCTGTTCGTGGACTACAGTTCAGTATTCAACACAATAATTCCCTCTAAGCTTTTCACCAAGTTGACGGATCTTGGACTCAGCTCATCACTGTGTCAGTGGATCCTCAACTTCCTCACAGACAGACCCCAATCAGTGAGGGTGGGAAAACAAGTCTCCCCCTCCATCTCACTCAGCACTGGAGTGCCTCAGGGCTGTGTTTGAAGCCCCCTGCTGTACTCACTGTACACTTATGACTGTGTAGCCACATCCGACACCACCTCCATTGTCAAGTTTGCTGACGACACTGCTGTTTTGGGCCTGATCTCCGACAACATCGAGACGGCCTACCTGGAGGAGATTAGGAACCTGGAGACCTGGTGCCAGGAGAATAACCTCCTCCTAAACATCAGTAAGACTAAGGAGCTGATCGTGGACTTCACTACAAAGCAGGCGAGGAATTACAAACCCCTCATCATCAGTGGCACGCCAGTGGAGAGAGTGGACAGTTTCCGATACTTGGGTGTCCACATCACTCAGGACCTGTCATGGTCCTGCCACATCGACTCCCTGGTTAAGAAAGCCCGTCAGCGTCTCTTCTTCCTCAGAAGACTTAGAGACTTCCATCTGCCACTGAAGGTGCTCAAGAACTTCTACTCCTGCACCATCGAGAGCGTCCTGACGTCAAACATCTGCACCTGGTTTGGGAACAGCACCAAGCAGGACAGACGAGATCTGCAAAGGGTGGTGCGCTCGGCAGAACGCATCATTCAATCAGAGCTCCCTGACCTGCTGTCCATCTACACCAAGCGGTGCAAGTCAAAAGCTAGGAAGGTTATGATGGACCTCTCCCATCCCAACAATGGACTCTTCTCACTGTTGAGGTCTGGGAAGCGCTTCCGCTCCCTTAAGGCCAAAACAGAGAGAATGAAGAGGAGCTTCTTCCCCCAGGCTATTCGGGGCCTGAACCAGGTGTAGGACTGGACTCTCCCACAAATCACCACACGCACCACCACACATTTCCTATAATCCTATAATTCCTATACTTGATAATCTTTATAATCTCTTCTGCTATTTGCACATTCTTTACTGTAAATTCCTAAGTTAATTTGTAAATTCTGTAGTAAACTGTAAATTGCAAATATTGTAAAACTTTTCCTCTGTCATTTAATGGTCGGGCATTGTACAGCTACAAGCATTTCACCCCCATGTCATACTGTGTATGGTTGTGTGTGACAAATAAAATTTGAATTTGATTTGAATTTGTTCTTCCCATTCTATGCATCCCCCTCCCTTCCCAAACGCCTTAGATGCTTGTTGCCTCCTGGGGGGAGGGTCCCATTTCACTACAGGGCAACCTGCACGTGGCGAATAAAGCTTTGATTGATTGATTGATTGATTGATTGATTGATTGATTGAATACTTCTTCCTAAACTTGCTGGCTGATACTCCACCCTCTAGCCCTCCAAATATGGAGATGTGTTAAGGACCCTCTACAGCTCTGTTCAGCTCTCCTAGAATAACTTTCTGTCTCCTGGAATATCCTCCATGCTCTTGACACTGTCCTTGGAGACACAGCAAAGCTTATTGGTAATAGCACTTATTGCTGTGCTGTGCAATACTGGAGGACTAACTGTACAGCCTCTTTGCGGTCTGATGGACGGATTTCCTGAAAGACTGTCTGTAAAAAATAAGAATATAAGTGCAGGAAGTGTGTTTGCAAGAACACCCACGCATTAGAGCGTTCCAATTCCCCTGTTGGACTGAAGCTGAGTATGTATTTATCAGTGCTGTTTCTTTATGCAAAAGCAGCTTTAGGAGCAACCTGGTGTGGCTGCAGCTCAGCTGTGTGGTTTTTTTAATTTATTTGTTTGGTGCGGGAAACATTTTTCATGTTATGTTAGCAAGATTGCTCTGCTGTGGATGAGGAAAAGGAAAAGAGCAGAAGGAAAACGTAAACGTGACCATCCGTACGTTGCAGCTCTCATCATTGGTGGGTCTGTGCGGCAGGATGAAGGTGGCGCTGTTGAGCGGTCCGTTACACGAGTCTGTAGCTTGTGTGAAGTCTAAGCAGCTGGTCAGGACCACAAAGTAGTGAGTGGGGATTGGGATTGTACCACTTATATACCTGCAAGAGAAGATCAAGGTCAGGAAGCTATTCCACACACTTTCCGAACATTAGCACTGTCCACAGTTAAAAATATACATGGAGTAAGGAGGTTTAACAGAAACGTGGAAATATTAAGTGTGCCTACTCTCGTATCTTCTCAGCTGAGTCTCTGACACCGTCATAGTTGTAGTCAAATATGGGTCCAGTCAGTACATTCACTCCATTTCTCTCAGTGGCGTATTTCTTCACCAGCACTCTCTGGAAATAACCCATATCTCTGAGAGAGGGAGAGAGATGATGGTGGTGGACTAAAAGCATAAAACAGAGTTCACTAAAGCTGAGGTAAAGACTTACTCTTGAATGCAGGATACATGGGAACAGTGTTGGTGATGAGGACAGCATCGGATTTTTTGTCTAGATTTGACGACAGTTCTGTCAGCAAGGACAAAAACAGGATTAATGTGGTAAATAAAGTCATGGAATACGATCAAGTGTGGGAAAAAAGAATAATAATATGATTGTAGTATTATTGTAGGAATACGAATCCAGTAAAACCTTCACCAGACATGCTGTGTTAACTCTGCTGCGGGGGCTCACTTACGTGGTGGGTACAGAAAGGCGTACGTGATGTGTTTATCTGCTCTGTAGTTGGTACATGATTGGCTGTAAGCTGGAGGGACTCTGGAATCAGGTCTCACACAGTTGGACAGAGCTTCAGGCAGAGGAGACACTTCTACCTGGAAGACCAGCAGAATACAAAGTTCTGTTAAACATATCGTGGATTTGTTTCAAAGACCAGAGAAAGAAAAATGGCACAGAAAAGATACAGTCAGCAGGCATTCAGGTGAGACAGGTGACACTGTCCAGCACCTGCACGTTTCCTGCTGTGCAGGAGGTTCATAGCATCCTTCGCTGTTTAAAGATACTTAATATAACTGCAGTGATGGAGCTCGGGGCTGAATGTGAGGACAACCGGTGTGTAACAAAGGATTGACTGTATCCTGCAAAACGTGGCTGTGTGAGACCCGGCTGTCTGTCAAAGAGTTGTCAAGTGAACAACAGTTGTAGTTAGATGAGTGAAAATGGAAATTAATGGAAATAAAACAAAATCTTTTCATGGATTTTTAAGCTGTCTTCGAACTAAGAAGCTAACTTTAAACAAACTCAGGGCGAGTAAGAAGCCTTGAAACTGACAAAATAAGAACGACAGCCGTTATTATTTCAGCCTTTTATCACATTATTACAACAACGTTGGCTCACAGTGAAACCAGAAGCAGCAAAAGATGCAAATTTTCCAAATGTCTTTGATCCAGGTGCACAACCAGACTCATGAGAAATATTGGTGAAAGTCACGAAGAATGAATGTCATCCAGTTTTTGACAAAATGCTGTTAGTACAAGCTGTTTTGTTCTGAAGACAGCCTTTCAGGCATAAAGATTGCTGTTTGGTGTCTGGATCGTAGCTGGAGACCAGTAACCACTAAATCATCAGCATGGTAATCGGAGATTAAGATCTCACACAGGAGTTGGTGTTTTCTCTGTCTGAATGTTAAATGCACTGCCTCTACTCTGCTCTATACAACTTGCATCCATTCACACAAGCAGTGCTTTCCATCTAACGTTCACAGTCCGACGGATGCATCAGAGAGCTTCCTGGGTTAGTGTGTTGGCATGAAGACTGGAGCAGCAAAGGATTGAACCACCAGCATCCTGATCAGTAGATGAGCAGCTCTACCTCCTAAGCTACAGCCCCCCTAAACTAAAGCCTGTTGTGAAATCAGTGACATGACGGCACTCAGAAGAGGTTTCCCCAATAGTAGCAATGGTGCTGGAAGCAGGAGATGAACTTCTAGAAAAAATTCTGAAACATCAAATATCTGCTAAACAGTTAACTACACCTAAGCACTTGTACTTCCAACAACTGAAAGACAGAGAGGACGGAGAGAGCAGTACCTGTCTGCTGGCAGTGTACGATGTCCAGACGGGCATGGACAGAGTTTCACTGTAGCCACTGATGTAGTCGCTGTGGTGCAGGATGCAGTATTTGGTACGGAAGAGGACAGCAGGCCGACCGAACGGCAGGTTCCTGCTGTCTATGAGAGGAAGAGCGCAGACAAGCAGGAATGTAGCAAAAGACATTTACAGATCGATGCATTAAAACGACGACTGAGCGTTCATGACAGAATGATGAAGAAATTTCAAATAAAACAAGACGAGCTACAAATCCAAACTTTCACTGCAACTACGCTTAGTTTTATCTGCTGGGACTGAAAGGAAAAGTCACTTATTAATGACATTTTCAGTAGGAGCGTTAAAGACTGACCATCCATAGCTTGCCTCAGTCGCTGGTTTAGCTCCTCCACTTTGTTCTGTAAGAGACAGAGCCAGAGTGACTCCAGGTTATAGCCTCGTACAAGGGTCACTTTCAAACTTCTCTGGCCCCTACTTTTTACACGCAACTGCAAAAAGATCGGAGATTGAAACAATCTCTTGCCAGAGATCTACATGGGAATCACAAAGACAGCATAAAGTGAGACAGTGCAGGGCAGAGCTGGGTCTAATTCACCTCAATACAGCAACTACACACACAATATCTGCACTAAGAAGGCTGTTAAACTCTAAAATTGTCAATAAACTATTGATTTTGACGAGGTGAACCGACCCCAGCTCTGCAGCAGAAAGCAAAGAAGCATCAAGGTTATTTAGGCTTAAAAGAAAACAGCAATTGCACATTAAGAAACTTTTTTTTTACAAGTAAAAAAGGCACAAACAATCAAATCCTCCTGAATGACAGACCCATGCAGATGAATCTTTTTACACTGTGTAAAATGAAGTTAAACTGCAAAAAAGCAAAACTTCTGCAACAAAAAGCCCTTCAGTCATCTGCTATGGTATAGATCAGCTGATAGCACATCTGACCAATCACACACACTGCTCTGCACAACAAGACGAGCAGCTGACCCCAGTTATGGTTAATAAATCCTGCTGGGTACAGGCAAGGAAACATGGATCTGGGGTCTTACTTTTCATACCAGGTTTATGCTACAGCTGATTTCTTACTCTCCGTTTGCACGATGACTGAGGAGTTTTAATCTGAGGACGACGTCAACACTAAGTGCCCCAGCCCACACCACTGGTCGTATAATGTCCAAATATGTGATTTTGTTGCAATTGGGATCAAAAACAAACCAACACAAAAATTAATTTCTTATTTTATTGTCAAAAAACAAGCTTGGGTCAGGGTAGAGTAGCCAGGGAACTTTAAGGGTGTTACAAATAAGGTCCGAGGGCCAGAAACCAACGATTCAATTCAATTTTATTTATATAGCGCCAAATCACAACATAAGTCGCCTCAAGGCGCTTCATAGATACAGAGAAAAACCCACCAATCATATGACCCCCTATGAGCAGCACTTTGGCGACAGTGGGAAGGAAAAACTCCCTTTTAACAGGAAGAAACCTCCAGCAGAACCAGGCTCAGGGAGGGGCGGGGCCATCTGCTGCGACAGATAAACAATAAAATGTTTTCACTATCTACAAAAGTAATTACCATACAATTTCTTTTTTGTTTTTATGGGGGGGGGGGGGGGGGTGTTACCAAATCTCAGGGATTAACTGGAGATAAAGTATCTGAATTTCAGGAGCTGGACCACGCCTCCAAACACGCCTCCTTCTGGTCCTCATCTACACATGTTCCCCCAGCTCCACAAGCTGTTCGCTCTCGTTTATGTGCCCCACCCTCCCTCCCCTTTTTAATTCTTTAACTTCTTCATTTCTGTTGTAGTCCATGAGGATCTGCCAGGCCCGGGAGCTGCCACCAGTCCCCTTCGAGGTCTTCCCCAAACCACAGCTCATGTCCAAGCCATTCAGCTTTATCTACTAAAACGGTGTCAAACCTCAAATAAGGACGTGGGGCCAGTGAGTGAAATATGTTGGTCAACTTCTGTGCACTAACAGAAAGTTTCACCGCACCAGTACAGATAAACTGGGCTCTACGTCACCTTCAATGTTAAAGGGTTGTAGTTCTTGTCCTCGTAGTTCTAATATGTTTCGTATAAAGAGCATCTGTGCTGACACCTCCGATGGGCCAAAAAAGTGTTACTGACTTGAATACATACTTGATAAAAACTTTCTTGCATTCCTTAAAGAACTCATAAAACAATCAGACACAAAGACACGCTGATGTCTCAGCTGAGCGCTTCAGCCTACAGTTACCATGTTCTTGCAGCCTCTCTGCATCCCTGCACCTCCTTTCACGCTTTATTCAATTTCATGAGCTTCGTATCTCTGGGCACCGATGCCTGCTTTCTTCTGTGAGCAGCTCTTGTTGCTGCTCTTCCTTCCTCTAGATTTCATGTTTGTACATGGAGGGAGAGGTGCCAGAACAAAGCCGTATTACTAAATATGCCTGAACTCTGGTGTCCTGATATTTCCTGGTTGACCTTGGGCAGTCAAAAGCTACTCCTTGCCTCCTGCGGCTCGTGGCCTCAGTGGGTCCGGTTTGTTCCGGCCCAGGTCGACCTCTTAGGGTCTTTGTTATGTTGCTGTGGATATATTGCAGTGTGGACAGTGTCTGTGTGAACACAGAATTTATATTTGTCATCCCACTCTAAATGCTGGCTGCATTTAGTTTCAAGTGATGATCCTGTTATTAGCACGGGAAATAAAGTCTAGTGTTTCAGGGTACCTGTCAGGAGGATGGTTCAGAACCCTAAAGAACTTGTTCTTCTCTGGATTCAGTCTGGTGTCTCGTGACATCGCAGGCTCACTTCCATGATGTCAGGGCCCTTTCAGGCTCTCTGTAATCTCTCACAGCACCTTGTTCTGGATGTTTGCTGTTCTTTTCTCTGTGTGTGTGTTTATACAGCACACGTTTAATGCTGATCTCTCTTTCATGGTGTATCTTCTGTGCTGTCTCCCTCCTCTCACTCCCAACCGGTCGCAGCAGATGGCCCCGCCCCTCCCTGAGCCTGGTTCTGCTGGAGGTTTCTTCCTGTTAAAAGGGAGTTTTTCCTTCCTACTGTCGCCAAAGAGCTTGCTCATAGGGAGTCTTCTGGTTGTGTGGGGCTTCTCTGTATTATAGTAGGGTTTTTAGCCTAAAATATAAAGCACCTTGGGGACTGCTGCTGTCATATGGCACCTTATAAAAAAAATTTAATTAAGTAAATAAGCTGATCAGATGGATCCTTTTGTGGGATTTAAAAGTCAAGCGAATGTTTGGCATCTGGCCAGTCATACATGCAGGTTAGTCATACTTTGTAAGGGGCTAATTTGGCCTATGGAAACAATTTTAGAGTCAACTCTTTTAGGCCAAAAGTGAAGAAGAGGGAGTTTTAAAAAGAGGCGCTGAGGTCACTTCAAAAACTGCTGATCTCATGGGATTTTCCTGGACAACCATCTTTAGAGTTTGGCCCAAAAAAGGAGAAAATATCCAGTTAGTATGAGTTCTGTCAGTGAACATGGTGTGCTGATGACAGAGGAGAAAGCCCAGACTGTGGGGTGCTACTCCTGTGAGTCTCAGAAATTGAGACTGCAATTCATACAAGCACCAAATTGAGCAGCAGAAGATGGGAGGAATTTTGCCAAGTGTGACAATATGGATGTACAGCCAAGAATGTTGCTGCATGTGCTGAACATATGATTGAGTTGAGAAATTAAAAAAAAAAATAGACTAGAAGAGGTTTAGAAAAATAGAAGAACAGAATTCCCTTCAGGGACTGACAGGAAGTTGGGCTCAGGTCTGCCTCTGAGTCATCGTGGCTGACCTTTTCATCGCAGCTGCACCCCAAGCTGTCTGTTCCTGCAGGTACAACACCAGACGCTGTTGGTCTGGAGACCTCCTCTGCCATGGTGGGTCTGTACGGGGGGGTTCTTAGCAGGTGGTTCAGACTGCCGTGAGTTCCATTATTAGGGGCCGGTTTCAAACCTAGAAGATCTAAGAATGGGACAAATGTGACTGAAATCAGACTAAAGACGTCACACACACGTAAACATCAGCTAACGCATTCTTATTGTGGAAAAATATCAGATATCAAAACACACCCAGACACCTGAACACAGAAATGCAGATGGAAAAAAAGGGACTCCTCACCACACATTACGTTATAAAGCTCGATGTTTTCAAAGGCTGGAACTTTAGTCTTGAACTTAAACGTGGGCCCATAGCCAACGAAAATAGTCTGGAAGCAAAAGTTCATCACACGGGTTAGTTTGTTACAACAAATGCAAGAAAATGTTTGATATATCTGAAGTTTTTAACAAGAGTTTAAAAAAAGGCTATTCTACATTTGCATACATTTCATTACATAAATAAAGACAGTTGCCTTATATTGTGGGAAGAATCTCTGGGCTTTTTCCTCAGAAATCTCAAGAATATTTAATTGTTTTTTATAAATTAGTTCCCTGTCTTCTACTTATTATTATTCCTTCTTACATTTCATGTATTTAAGAAGACGATTAAAGTTCCTGTAATGTTTATGAAATGTGCACATACTGTCTTTTTGTTTGTTTGCTTCCAGCTTGGATTCAGACACCTTCTCAGTTGTTGGTAATTAGGTTAATTAGCAGTTAGTTGTAGTTAGGGTTGGATCAGGTGCCCCTCAATCCTCACTTATTTACACTGCATTAGGCCTGTGCTGTTGGGGGGTTCCCATGATGCATTGAGCATTTCTTCTTCACTCACTTTGTGTTTACACACTGCGGCTCTCTTCCACAGGAAGTCTTTCTCCTGTCTTCCTCCCCTCATCCCTGACCAGTACGGCACGTGTCTGCACCCCCCCGGTTCTGCTGGAGGTTTTATCCTGTTAAAGGGGCGTTTTTTCTTCCCACTGTTGCCTAAGCAACAACTTGCTCATAGGGGGTCATTTTCTCTGTATTATTGGAGGGTCTTTACCTTATAACAATATTTATAAATGTTGAAATTGAATGTTTAGACAGTCTGAGCTTTAACCTCCTGAGACCCGAACTCTTCCACGGCATACATTTTTAATTTCTCTTTGATATTTGGGCTGATTGGGACCTGATCAATGTAAAAACAAAGAATTACCAGATTTTTTTTTTTACCTGATTTTTGTTTCTAATAAAAATGAGATCCACATATGAGGATATTCGTTTAAAATTTTGGTATAACAGTGGCAGTATAATGTCCTCGTAAGTGAGTATCAGGCCCTTGTAGAGCAAAATTTAGTATTTTGGTCTAAATAACCCAAAATGTGATGTCCACATATGTGGACGGCAGGTCCGAGGAGGTTAATACCGGTTTCAGTGTGTAACCGTGTGCACAGTGCGTGTACGCTGTTCCTAGCTGATGTTTTAGAAAGCTGAGCTGGTATTGTGAATACAAAGGGAATCTTGTAAACAGATACCTGCATGCTGTTGATCTTATTGTCATATCCATGATCTCCAGCAAAGCCACAGTGCCTCCTGCCTTCAGGGACCTTCCTGTAATGACAGAGGTATCTTCTCTCATTCGTAACCAAGAGGACAGTGACGAACTTTGTTTCTACCATCAGTGTTGCTAAGGTTGGCAACAAAGAAGCCAAACTGTGTGACAGATATATAAAAATGCTTATTGTTTTTCTAATAATGTCACCTTCTGCTGACATTGATAAATGGACTGATTCTTCTATAGCGCTTCTCTACTCTCCCAGAGTACTCAAAGTGCTCTATACAACATGCCACATTCACTTTCTCTACACTTAGTGTTTTCTAACTACATGCAAACTCTGATGGATGCATCAGAAAGCAACTTGAGGTTAGTATCTTGCCCAAGGATACTTGGCATGCAGAGTGGAGAAGCCAGGGCCTTCTGATCAGTAGGTGACCTGCTCTTCCTCCTGAGCTACAGCAACCACAAAATAACTAAGACACATCTCTTTATTTCCCTCAAACCCACTGCTGGAGCAAAATTTAATCATGCAAACATAAACATCGTTTAACAGGAATCGAATGAAGTATAATCATTTGCTAAACTACATGTGGCTGGTGTAACTGTTGTATCGTAAGTGTCAAAATAGGTTGTCATATGATTTACTGGTTAACAAGCTCAGGCCTGAGAAAAGCAGCTAACATAAATATGCCAAAAACTAATAGTGCCCATATAATCCCTCTATCATCCCTCTACTCACAACGAACATTTGTGCATGTGTTTGGCTGTGTTGTTGTTTATAGCTAATTTCTCCCTTTAAAACAAATGTTTGATTTTTCTTTATAACTCAATAACTTTAGTATGATATAAAATTAGAGGTGTGGACGCTTGTACAGACAGACTTGCTGAAACAGGCTGTCTTTCACACCACAGCTCTGAGTTCAGTTATTTCTTGTGGCTTTTTTATGTGCCGAATCCAAAGATGAGGATTAAAAATAGCCGACTGTTTTGCTGGCCGCGACTGTTTCCAGGTTATTCAGTTTCTTACAATTTACACCTACATACACTGTTTAGGTAGTTGATTTTAAATTCTAAGCTTCTTGTCTCACTTTGACCTTTCTTCATTGTGTAGCAACTTAGAAAAAGTCTAAACATAGAAGACAGAGAGTTCCTAATCTTCTATATTATTACTGGGCTTCACAAATAACCTCAGGGTGGTTATCTTCCTTTTTACACCAAGGCAAACCACCCATAGATACCTGGTGCTGTGACCCTCTTTCGCCTCTTTGTCTTTTATCTATTGATCTGGATGACCTTCCTCTTGGTGTCAGAAATAATTTTATTTTGATGTCTACACTTAAGGTTTGGCACAATATTGCTGCCCACGTTGGAAGAAGAGGTTTTTCTAGTGCACTACAGCCTCTGATTAGTAATAAAGCTGAAACACTTCTTCGGGTTTCTGCAAGTAAGACGTTTTGTAAAGTCCCTTAAATTTCCAGCCAGTCAACCTGTTTTGAATCCTGTTGAAAGCTTTCTCCTTAAATTTAATGAGGAAATAATCACAAAAAAGAAATGTACCTCTTTTTGTTATAGGGAAATTATTGTCTCCGAATTTTGTAACCACCGATAAGGCCAGGGTTTGATGGGAAACCAACATTGAAATTGAGCTTAGTACAGAAGCATGGTCTAAAATTTTAGATCTGCCAAGAAAATGTTTTCCTGTAACCAACTGCAGGAACGCCATTCCAGAATCGTACATAGACTGCAGCGTACCCCAGAGCTTTTAAATAAAATTCATCATTTGTATTGGGCTGTGCTGATTTGTTGCTGTTTGTATTGTTTCCAAAAAATCAATAAATCGTTGTTTAAAAAACGAAGACAGAGAGAAGCCTGATTATGAAACACTAAATGATGATATGTAGATCTGCAGGACTCCTCACTCGCCTGTCTATGTGTGTGTCCACTACTGACTTTATCTAATTATTGAAGGCCTCGGTCACACAGGCCTAGAGTCAGTGAACCCTCTGGAACTTCTGGTTGTTATGGAAAATGACATATTTGTTGACCAGTTACTAAGCGGTTGCTGGAAGTTTCTGTCTGTTGTCACATTGCATCAGTTACAAAGAAGCTGCTGCATGAAAAACCTCAAACTGCAACTTTTACTTTCACACCTTTCACAGTTTCACTTCACAAACAGAACAAAATAGAGATTTTAGAAGCATTTCACAGAACTTTTAATGGCACACTGTGAAAGAAAGTAGCAAATATGAGGGATATTAGAATATTCTTTACAAACACGTAACTTTAATTTGCATTACAGATTTCCTGATACTAAGAAGGTAAACTACAAGGTCATGGTAGAGGTCAAAAGATCAAGTACCATAATATCACGACTTTTGAAATTTGGCAGTTATGTTTTCCTACTTCTTCTTTGGCTCTCGGAGGAGGCGGAGGCACTTTTTCTCCTCTCCCTTATCTTCCCTGCTTATGTCCTTGTCTCGTGTTTTTTTTTTTGTATTTTCCCTGGAACACTCTCTCACAGTCTGTTCTCTAAAACCTAAAAGAGGAATTATGGATTTGATCAACTGGTCCCTAAATGCAATTGACACCCCTTTCTCAACGAGAAGTTTGGGCTTGGGTGAGCCTGAGTGCTGAAGATATCTACCTATTTGGAACCATGATAACAGGGTTCTGGCTGATCGGAGCTGGCTTGGCCCTGGCTTATCGGAGAATGAAGAAAGCGGAACCGGCTGTTCAAACCCCACAAGGCTGCCCGCTGGGATTGGAACGATGGGACGAGGCGTGAGTTTCTCAAAATGGGCTGATTGAGTGCAGCACGGATAAGATCTTGGAGAGGCTACGGCTGCTGTGAATACTCAGAATAAGATCTCTGACTGCAGACTGGATACATCTCGGAAGGGCTAGCCCGGAATAACATCTCTGGGCGCAAATCGGATGACATCTTGGGGAGGCACACTGCTGTGAGTTCTCAGAAATTGGCTCCTTGAGCACAAGAAATGACAACATCACAGAACGCAAGTATGGCGAAGCTCGCGGTTCTCCAACGGGAGATTGAGAGACCAGTGTTGGACTGTAGAACTGCTTTGAAATTCATATGAGCTGTTCGCACTAAAGTAAAAATACCATCATTTATGCGGATGCCCCTTTGGCGCCAGCCGCAAGGCCGGAGCTGAACAAAACACCCTGATAACGACTGTGTTGAGTCTGTTCCTTCCTATTCCATGCAAGGCCACCTGGGTTGGCTGGAAGACTGTTTACTTAGCCTGGCAGGGCGAAGGACACCGTCTCAGCTGAACTCTCCCTACCCCGGATCCAACACCACCTCCAACGCTTACCTCCCCTCTGATTTGGACTATCGGGTCAGTTGGAGGCGCAGTCGAAGATTGCAGCGGTCCCAGATCAGGTGTACACACTGGAACTCTTTCCCATGCTGCTGTCTGTGTTTATTGTGCTATGGTGTGTTGATATCTGTGCATTCCTGTATTATCCTTCTGTGTTACACATTTCGATGTTTTTTTCCTCGCTACCTAGTCTGACCTGTCTCCCCAATGTGATGTTTGTGTATTGTATGTACGGTCGGCAAGGTCTGTCATCTCGGTTGTGGGCAAAAGACCTGCAACTGACAAATAAAGGCTATCTCATCATCTCTCTCATCTACCTAATACAATTTCAATTCGCACGGACCAATTTCATCCAAAGGTGTGAATGTTTGATTATATCTAAAAATTCAAGGCTCAAAATGGATTTTAGTAACTTCTGGTTTTAGTTAAGCACTTTTGGTTTAAACCTGACCTAAAACCATATCACGAAAACTAGAGCAAACCAACAATTATATACATCAACTTCAGTGAGCACATTTTGGCTGTAGACCGGTGATGGTCGTATTCAGTGGAGTTTGCACTGTTGGTTACTTTATGATAAACACCAGGTGTTGCCATGTTGTGCAGACCATCCAGAAAGTGTCTGTCCCCATTTTTGTAAGTGTAATTCTAGCATTTCTTTCATCTGTTACTTAGAACTGATTAGTACGTATTTCTGTTTGTATGTAGCCGTAGTCTTAGTCTAGCAGTCCACCCTCTGGTTATAGCTCCAACAACAATATGGTGGTGGTGAGGTAACGTTTTTAAATGCTGCTGCAGGAACCAGGCTATTCAGTCTGTTCAGTGTAAAACCTCTCATGGATGCAGTTCATTTGTTATTGAGCAACTTAGCTTAACATGTAGCAAATGAATCCTGTGTTTCTGGTTCTGTAGTCTTCATACATCTACAACATCATGACAGTGTCCTCAGTCCTGAAGCTGCCCTTCAGTGTGTTGTCCCTATCCACCTACTTTAGTCCTTCAATCAATACGAGCCAAAGTCCTCTAATTGAAAAAAAGAAACCACTTTTTATTAGGTGTCCATTAAAACAAAAACATGGCTGTGCCATGGGCTCCCCCGTGTCACCTATTGTAGCCAACCTTTACATGGAAGAAATGGAAAGAAAGGCTCTTGGCTCTTTTAAAGGGAGAGTACCCAGCCACTGGTACAGATATGTAGACGACACCTGAGTCAAAATCAAAACACAAGAAGTGGAATCACTGTGCACATTAACGCCTTGGATAAAAACATCAAGTTCACCAGGGAAGACACAAAAGACGACTGTTTGCCTTTCCTGGACTGCGCTGTGCACATTGAAGAGAATGGCAACCTCAACATCGAAGTTTACCGGAAGCCCACGTACACGGACCAGTACCTCCTCTTTGATTCCCATCACCCTCTGGAACACAAACTTGGAGTAATTAGGACCCTACACCACCGGGCAGAACATGTTCCCTCTAAGCCTGAAGGAAAAAGAAGGAACACACACATGTAAAGGAAGCACTCAAAACATGCAGATATCCTAAATGGGCGTTCTTAAAGTCAGCAAAGATGCACAGAAAAGAAGATCAGACACCAGCGAGGGAGGATAAGAAAGACAGATGCAACAACATTGTCATCCCCTATGTAGCCTGTGTATCAGAGAAACTCAGGAGAGTTCTCTTTCATAGCTTTCGTTTTGTGTCTCACTACG